ATAAGCCAAGATGTTGCAAAAGCTAGACTTCAAGAGATACAGAGAAAACATTTAACATTATTTCAGTCCTATTCGACAGGATATATGTTTATGCTACCGTCGGAAATTAATTCCACGCAGATTTGACATTTTTCTAGGCGAGATGCCAATTCATATTCCTATAAAACTCACGGCCAACTTCCTAACTAAAAGAATATCGTGAAAACTGTAGCTTAATCCATCTGAAAACATGAGTATAGACATGAATGACTGAAGTCGTATCACTGCTTGTTGGTTGAACGTACTTTTTCAATGTAAAATTAAAATGGAATAAATGGACTGTTATTTAATTGGTCACTGATTTGTTTGAAAACCCTATGCTGAGATTTCCAGGGTCAGATAAACAGTCCTGGAACCAAAAGTCTAATTTTATCCCCAAATTAGCATTGGTTTCTTTATTATTATAAAATTTATATAATAGTGTTTGTGTGCATGAATTGAGAGGAGTCTCTGAGATTAGTTTGCTGTCAAAAATTTCTTTTTTTTTTAATACAACACAATCACAATCACATATTTGTTAGTTGAAAATGTCATTTTATTGACATTTGTACTGTGATTTAACACACAAATTACGAATTAAAAATACATACAGTTAAATATAATTATGTGAGTGATAACCGTGTAAGGTAAATCATTTACAAGTTTAAAATATAATTTAAGTTTCAAAAAAGACGGATTGAAAATTGTTAAATCATTTTATTGTGACCAACAAATTATAGTTTTATTCACGTACTGCTATAAGTCCTTTGAGTGCCCTTCAGGAGAATTAACTAGATATACATTAAAGATATACTAGATATACATAAACCGAAAATGGAAATGAGCAGGCAAACCTAACCTAACCCTACACCCTACCATGTACGCTTTATAAGTTGGAAGTAGAAAATGAATTGCATTTTCTCTCAAATTGTCCTCTCTACAAGAGCAACACAACAGTCGTTTTTCAAGAAGCAACAAAACCACGTAACCACTTAGCTCATTAACTCCCAGACCTTGCTAAAAGAGTTTTTAAAGCTCAAAATTTACAAAATTACCTCCTAGTTTGTGTATTTTGATAAAGATATCATTAGTTGGGCATGTTTTCAGAAGAATGTATTCTGTTCAGGCCACTGTGACGGTCTGGCGATAATCCTTTTAAAAGTTTACACTATACGTGAGATTCACAAGTTCAACTTGAGGTACCCTGGAAAATCGCCCAACCCTGCATTTGAGAAGTTTCTGAAATTATTTATTATGGAAATGAGAAGCCGTTGAATATTCAGCACAGGCCAAAATCTACACTCAGTTAATTGCACTGCTATAGTTTTTTGATATAGTATACAGTGTAACACATGATTGTTTTATATTACTTCATAATTATATAATAAACAGTGTTTTTATATAATATCTATGATATGATTGATATCTGTGATATGGTGTACACTGCACCCAGAAACACGCGGTTTATAGGATGCAATAAACTTTCTTCGCTGTATAAAGTAAGGGAAAATGTTGAAAAAGCTGAATAAAGTAAGGTAAAAATGGCGAAAATGTTGTATTATCTCGGTGAAAATGTTGAAAAAGCATAAATTATTCAATGTTGTGATATTCGTCTAGTTGAACTACCTCAAAGTGCTAGTTTCGGTTGCGGATGTTTCCATTATTGATGTTAAATGCTATCCTGGTTTTATTTTGCGCAGCTGTTGTAATCGAACCGGTGCTTATTAGTCCTGGAAACTAAATGTAGGGTAATTTGCATGGCGCGACACCGGAACCACGTGCTCAGCCGTGTCACGCTGACTCTGAATCCATGTTCAGTATTAGTCATTCTATATCTGACACGCTTGTCAATGATACCTTGAAATGTCCAAACATGTACCTGAGTTAAATATGTACATGTACATTGTACACTTAGCAAAAAGCGGTTTTAGTACAAGTGATATATCAGTTTCAAGTTGTCGTGTCTGCAATAGGCATCAGGTATTACCTCGGCCAAGGGTTATGTGTATTGGTTCCATTTGTCTGTCTGCGTGTTAAAAACATTATGCAAAACAAAATGTGGATTGATTTTGATGAATTTTTCAAAAACTGTCGTGAGGGGATCAAATAAAAAACGATAAGATTTTGGGTGTAATTAATTAATTAAGTCTGTTTGTTTGTTTGCAACATTTTACAAAAACTTTAGGAAGGCTTTAGATGAAACTTCAGAATAGATGAGAAATTGGCTGAACATTGGTGTTGATTGATAAATTAATTTATAGCTTTAACTAATTCAATTTATTAATTGCTTTAATAACTAAATTAATTATAATGCTAATTCAGTTAATTAAGTAGTAAATTGACGATGAATAATAATGATATTGAGCTGCCTTAGCGGAGGTCTGAGCTTTCTGTTTGATTTCAGTTTCTTCGATTTTTAAAGATGCATACAAAGTCAATTTTTTGTCACAAAAACCAACCAAATGCCAGCCTATAGTTTCATGTAGTATAACTAAGAGAATTACCAAAAGGCATTGTTTAATTTTACCCGAAAATGATGTTTGAACGGATTTTTCTTCTGGCATTCTAAGCTGTATGTCAATGGGGCAGGAAAATAGGCCACGAAAGTAGGTTAAATTTACAACCAAAAATTTAAAGAAAGGAGCAGTCTAAAGGTCTTTTATGGCTGATCGAGTGATCTATTCAGTTTATCCCTTGGCATGTCAAATTTATTCGAGTCATATAAGAATCTAGTAGAAGTGATTTACATGTGTTACTGGGAATCCACGCTCCACCGATGCTCGGTTCGTATGTACCTTTAACACACCACCAGGCGTTTCCAGTTCTTGGTGCTGATAGATGAGAACTAATACTTATGTCGGGAATTAAAAGAAACGAACAGCCGCGTAACAATTCTTACCTTTTTATTTAATTTAGGATTCAAGACGTATCAAATCCCTTAATTTTTTTTAAATGCACTATTTCTTGGAATGTGTCACTAGCTCACTGTACTACTAAAAACGAGGTCTCAAATATACAATTTGAAATATCGTTGATATATAAATGTCAAAAGCTTTATCGTCTATCTATTCAGTTTCATAGACTTTTGAGAGTTTTTTCAACCTCAGCGAACTAGTCCTCTGTTATACTGTATGTCTATCCTCACTATTCATGTCTGTCGCCAGACAAATCTTTCTGACTCTCCAATGGAAATGTGTTTAACTTCACATCTAGCCCAATACTGGGTCGTTACATGTGGCAGAGACAGAAGAGACAGGATACACGCTAAAAGCAACTCTGTTTTAAGGGATCATACTTTACTGTCTTGATACATTGTATCATCGGGCTGTCTCCTTGACACTTGACACGCTTTTGCGATTACCAAGGTTAAAAAAATTGATATCATTGAAAATAACTCCTAGGTCGGCATAGAGTGGTACAAGCCGGATCTGTCTATTGACTTTAGAGGGGTGGCGCAGATATCGGACCAAGAAGTGTCAATATTCTTTTGATTTTTACCGACTTGCGGTGTATGATAATTTCGTATCGTCAATAACTGGGGTTTTTTTCTAATTTAGGCAATCTCAAGGATGATTTATCGCACAGTCAACATAGGGAAAAAATATTTTTCTTTCAAAACAAGTGACCCACTGTACTGCAGATGCTCTATTTAAAGAGACACCGACTCCTTCACATTGCGTCAGAATGGAACCAAGCAATTTGTTCACATATCTCGCTTCACTGAAAAATATGAATATTTCAGAGAAATTGCTGCTTTGTATTTTTGCCATCGGGTGCATATCTGCCCTTCCGAACACTGACACGGAAATTCAGGAACTGAAAAGAAAAGTGGACCAGCTGTATACCGTGGTCAGCCAGTTAGAAACGAAGTTAGTGACTAAACCAGGTAATGGTTTTCACCGATACTCAGTATATAGGTCCATTTGATATTTTTAAAAAATTTTATTAATAGTAGGCAAGTGGAACTTACCTTGCATCAGTCTAGCAACTGAAATCACCGAAAAAAAATTAGTAGATTTGTAAACATAAACAGGCTTAATTTCAAGCCTTCGTTACTGGAGCTCGAAGCACCATATCACATTCTCCACTCCGTCTTGTTTATTTTCATGAAAGTAGAAAGTTTGCAACTTGCTAGGAAGCGTGTATGATGTCTATCGACTCTGGAAATGTGTAGAATGTTTATTTTGAATAACTCAGTGATTAGCTTGCGGCTACTTTTGCGGTGTAGTCCCGCTTTTGAAAATGAAAAATTCTTCGTGACTTGGGCGTCTTTTGCTGCAGGTCATTATTTTTAGTTGTTTGGTGTTTTTAGTAATATTTTAGCTATTAATAAAATCCTTAGTAAAGTTACATCCATTAGAAGCAAGACGATATGGTGAAGTGGAATAGTCAACTGTTTTACACGAAACACGGCAAAACTGCATTCTCTTAGAAAGTAGTTTCCAATATCTTCGTTACCAGATACTGTGAAAAATCTACTTGAATTTGAGGACAAAATGTATCAATGAAGTAAACGTGATTCTCGTAATAACCCTTTAGCGCATTTTTTTTTTTTTTGTTCTTTATTTTGTAAGCATTGAAAACGTGCAAAAATTATCCTTTTTTTTAATTTCGTTACTGAAACCTTTGTTACTAAATACGAATACTGTACAAAGCATGAAGCACAAAAAGCTTGATTTATTACTTTCTGTCACCAGTTTTATAAAAAGAAGTAAATCTTTAAATCTTTCACAACTTCATTTTTTATTTTTGTTTTCTTCAAGGGTCTATATGTTGAGATTCTCTGGTTAAATACCTTCAGGTGGAATTGTCATAGAATTGTCAATGTTTTAAAAATGTATGCGTGTTCATGTTTTAACACAAGTAAAAAATACGTTTCAAGTACTCCGGGCACTTCTCGATAAACAACTTTTATTTCAGTGAGTTGTCCTGCGAATTACGTGGAGTTTCAGGGGTCTTGTTACATGTTTGTGAGATACTTAATGAGCTGGGACGATGCGCAGAGGAACTGCCAATATTCCAATGGCAACCTGGTGACCATCCAGAGCTCAGCTGAACAGGAGTTTCTCACCGATTATATCACCAGAAATCGAGGTAAGAGTTTACGCATTTACACCTTTAACGTTCGGAAAAAATTGAAATGTTATCGTTCGTCGAGACCAGGGGCAAAGCCGACCCCCCCTTCCCCGGTGGCGTTGGAAATTTTTTTTTTTTTCATTTTAGGAAGCGAATTGTGCCATTTGGTACGGTTTAGATCTATAATTCAGCTAGTCAAAATTCTAATTTCAAGAGAGTTTCATAGGTGTAATATTTTTAAGAAATTGAAGGGGATGTCAGGACCCTCCTTACACCCCTTAAATCCGCCACTGGTCGAGACTATAATAGTCAGGCGATCCGTATTTTAAAAATAAAACAGAGGTTACCTGTAGATTTAAAAGATATTATAAAAAGCAGCAATCCAAACTTTTTTTTAGTTTACTGATAATTAAAATATAAAGTTTTGTACATTCAGGCACGTATCCTGATAGTGGGTTTTGGACTGGCGGAATTGACAGAGGCGCAAACGGCCTGTTTAGATGGACAAAAAACAATAAGCTGATCCAAAATGAAGGAGGTGCGATTTTATATACCTTTAGGCTAATGTTTTTCCGAGGAGAGAGAAGAGAATTTTTGGCAAATAAACAGTAGTAATGATTAAAAAAAATGAAAATGAATAATATTATTCAATTTTTTAGCTGTACCAAGTACAATATTTTAATTTTTCTCCAGATTTCCTGGGATGGGACTACTTTGATAGTACTATCACGCAATCTGGTCAAGACTGTCTGGTGATGTGGCGTGACCGTGGCTATCTCTGGCACGACCACAGATGTTACGAGAAGGTGCACTCTATCTGCGAAATAGAAAAATGATGAAAACGAAGAAAGAATAATCAATCCGCTTGATTTGGTAAATTTCTTACTACCGAGAGAAGGTGTACCCCAATATAAATATAGTAACGGTTAAAACAAAAGTCTATGAACAGTAGAAAAAAGGTAGAAAAAATACACCTGATTTCGTTTATTCTTTTTACTGCCGCGAAGAGGTGCGAAATATGCAACGGCAAGAATTTAAGTAGATGGACCGTAAAAACAAAAGTAAAAAATAATCCGGTTGATTTGATTTTGCTTATGCACATGAATGTTGAAAGATAAATAAAATGATTTTAATTGATGACTCTTAACTTTGTGTTCTTTGTTTTAAAAAGTCTGAGTTAAATGCTTGTGTTCGTCAAAGTTTGAGACCTAAAAGTCATAGGCTTCTTTGTTAGTTAACACGTAAGTTGGAATTGAAATTAAATTTCAGCGATTGCAAAGATGTGTATGTTACCCACTTTTGGGGACTGCCGATTATCTGTTTAAAAGATATATTGGTGCTCACAATGATTTTGTGATTGTTCAAATGTTTATGGCATGCCGTGAACGCCGCCATGTTGCGTGGTTCCAGCATTGTGGGGAGGGGGGGAGTAAAATAAAGCTTACGAAGACGGACCTGTTATTTACGACAGTTTTGCATTATAGGATACCATCATTTAACGGCAATTTTTCAAATAAGTGTCTTTTAAACAAAGTCATTGTAATTACAACAGTAGATATGATTGGCAAAATTAGCGCTATTTATTATTTCGACACAGGACTGGCATCGTTAATACAAATTTTATATGTAAGACATCTGTAAGACGTCTGTGAGATCTAAGCTTAGAGACAATAGAAATCAGTCTTTGAAATGAAAGCCTTTGAAATATTGCACAAATTAGCTACTATCGAAGCAACCAAATGGATAAGATATATATGACCCCGTTCAAATCAACCGCCATATTTATTCTGATACTCTAATGTTAGTGATCAGTCTTAGTAATTCTTCTCGCACACGAAGCCATGGGACGCGCCACAAGCGACTCTCACCAGATTTAAGTGGTTTGTACCATCCATGAGGACGCAGTGGTGAGCATGATCTCCAGTGACGGTGAGGTTGACAGAGTGACCATCACCCGCCCACATCAAAGTACCGTGGTTGGCCAAGTCATTACCACTGACCCACCATTTGGTGATGCCTGGAAATAGAGTACCAGCGGAATTGTGAATAATTTACCTACTTCTGATTTTCATCGAAAGCACAGGAAAACAGCAGATATATAGCAGATAGGAAAAATAAAAATATTCTCTCCCAAACTTAAGTGGGTTGGGGGACATGCTTGAAACGGGTTAGTCATTTTCCATTCGTCTATATTCAGTCCGTTTAGGCCTACATGTACAACATTGTCCGGTGTGACAGGAATGGTAGTCCTAGGAATGAAAGTCCGGGGTACCTTATGATGAGTACATGTTAAGGTAAGCCGGAGTATCGGAGTTAGTATATGAGACAAATGGCACTTGTTCAAAGTAATGGGGAACGGACAACGGTGCCTAGTGGATTACCATTCCTGGCTAGCACACCGGCCATCTCCCATCTTCTATCAAGGTCAAGGTCAAGTTTTGAAGTTTTGAAGGAAGGGAGACTTACCTGCGCTGGTAGCATCCTCAGAGGAGAAAGTTTGGTTCTTGATGTAATGGTGTTCCTCCGCCGTGTTCACGGACGCCAGACGTGCCCCATAGAGAACGGCGCAGAGTCTGTCTGCCTCGGGCCAGTCCACCGCCGCTGGGACGGCCTTGTAGCAGGACCGAAACTCGTCGTTCCTCGTGAAACAGCTTGGACACGGGTCAACTGGCGAATATCAAAATGACTTCGTCAAACATTAAATTTACAATTTCAATTTATTTCTGTACTGGTACATAAATAATCATGACCTTGCCAAATATAATAAAAACAATCGAATTGGTCCAATACCATTCTTTTATTGGTAATTGGATTGGCAGTTTGTGAATGTACAACTATATATCTTTATATAAGGAACAGATGTACTAGTTAAGTTAATAATAAAATATTCAAGATAGGCAGTGAGATACAGATTCTTAGTGTGATTATACATTTACCATAGACACAAACAATCATTAAACTAACAACCATGAACTACGTCAAATATTTTGCTGATTGAACTGGCTTCAAAGACAATAACGTGGACCTGTACATGTCGTATTACAAGTGTATACCAATCGAATAGCTCATTCTTCGTTTTGTTTGATATAATTATTAATATGGCATTCAAAGTATAAATAATGTACATTATTTAACATTCTTTATGTAAGCATTAAATAGTTGTTATCCAACACTATGTTTGCAAACATATTGTGAATAATGAAACTCTAAATGCATTCACAGTTGTACCTTCATAAGATAGCAGATAATTATTTGTGTAGTTGATGAAATAGAAATATGTGAAATTAGTTCTTCTGCTAACATATGATTTTATGTAATTTTAGAGAGTTAAACGTAAACTTACCATTGCATCTTTCATCTAATTCAGTCAGTACCTCGTTGGTTTCCAACAAGCTTGCAATAGCTTTCTCGATAGCCGCGTGTTGAGCGTCCACTATCCTGTCATTGCTCTCCTGTTCGGGGCACGACAGATACTCGACTGAAAAAAAAAAGCCAGAGTGTAGAAGCAGTTCTACATGTAGCACGTACATGTTTCACACAGTTCCTTAGTCTATCACCGAACCCGTACAGTTCCGTTTTCTTTATGCCTAAATGGTATAAATGATTAAGAATCACATTTTTCAAGTTAGGTGTTAGGTCTCTCTCTCTCAACAAACAATTGAATACATTCGTTTTACCATTTCTGCAAGCAGTCTGTACCATGTCCTCTGTCCGAGCGATCAAATCTTCAAAGTCTTCAGTGGTGAAGACATATCTCTCGTAAGGTTCCGAGGCAATGTCCTCCAGGTTGTCTCTGAAATGAAAGAATTCTCTGTTCAGGTGTGCTAGAAACAGGAACTGGAAAAATGCTTTACAAACCACCCATTAATTTTTTTTCTCTGTTTTCACGGTTGTGCTAGTTAAATTAGATATGAATGAATTTGAATTTTTTTGCCTACCGCCTGATGTCGTCCCCGACTCCTATTGCCATGATTTTGACACCGTCAGCCTTCAGTGCATCAGCATTCGGGATGGTGGCTTCTTTGTCTGAGTTTGGTTTACCATCGGTTATAACAATCACCATCTTAGCGTCGGTCACATTGCGTTGGTTTTCATTAAAGAGCTCGTGGATGACCGCCAGCCCTCCGGAGGTGTTGGTTCTCGTGCCCAGCTGAGTCTTGAATTCACGGTCCGCCATCTCCCCGACTTTGTCCAAGACGGCTTGCTTGTCTGTAAGCGAAAAAAAGCCTGTTTAGTATCAAGATGGCTAGAAATTAATGCAAAACTAGGTGCATCATATTTTACTCTTCCAGATCCTTTCAGCCCCTCAGCCCCCCCTCCGGTTTTGACACCAAGTTTTTAAAGTTTTTATATGTAATTATAAAATATAACGCGAGGAAAGTCTCAGTTGGGTGCAATTCCAGTCCATATTTAGTTCTGCTATTTTTGTGAGGGTGTTTATATAACTTCTGCACTGGTATTTGAGGAGCTATGCTCACAGTGTAGGCCTAACCAGTCAAACCAATATTCTGTCATATCAGTGTAGGCTTGGCTATTTGTTATTTATATTGACCGCTTTTACCGATTTGTTCCATATGTGCCAAGGTCGGGGGCGTCTCGATAGTCCGAAGGTTCACTGGTCCGAAGAGTAGTAACATTTTCATCGTTTTTTTTAATCAAGGGTTCATTGGTCCGAAGGTTCTATAGTGAACATTAAGACCAATGAACCTTCGGACTATTGCTAGGGCCCGCCAGGTCTATTGTTTGCACTAGCTCTGCACTTAAATTCGGTGTTTTATTCCATTTTTAATTCAATACTTTAGTTTAAATGACTGGCCAAATAGAACGAAATCTACCGTCACGCACATTGTCTCGTTTTCACATAAGAGAACCTCTAAAATTCATTCATTTTGGAGGGGAAATCCTGTCGAGTGCAGCTATAATGAGTTACTAAAAACGCCACTGCCAGACAAACTCACCTGAATAATCATCAAAGGCGAAGTATCGGGTCGCTTTAACACTGAAGTAAACGAGACCGAGGCGCACACGCTCAGCACCAACGCCGAACCTGCTGATAAAATCTTGAACAAACCCGACCACTTTCTTGTAATTCATGAAGCCCACGCTCTTGGAAGCGTCCAGCAAGAACGCCAAGTCGATCTTATCTTCTCTGTCGCAAGTGACGTGGTTGGCTGGAAGTATGGTCAATTTTCAAACGTTTTTTTTTTATTATTATTATTCTCAAAGATTTGAACGATCCAATTCATTTCTTGTGGACATTGCTGCCCTATGATGAGATCATAAATAGTGAAACAGTATATCAGGTCAAATTTCACTAAATGGTCGAAAACATAAATCAAATATCGGACGCGACATATTAATTCAAACAAAACACAAAGTGCCCTTATTTGGATAGCGATTCCACATTTTGCAGTTACATGAATATCATTTTAAAAAAATACTTTTTTAGGTTCACATTCTGGACAAAATTACATTCCACGGCATAGGTTAAACTAATTAAGTTACCTGATGAAGCCTCCGAAGTGGAGCCCACCACTGCGATGGCGCAGTAAAGAAGTACCGCAGATACCAACAACACTTTCATGATGAATCGCTGAGATGTTGCAATCGAGTGTCACTTCTTGTCTTTTTGTCGTGATTTTAAACAAAATTCAACACCTACGCTGGTATACCGGCTGAGGATTGATCGCTTTATTTTTTGCATTCGTGATGCGCGACCAGGATTGACGGTATTTAGATAAGTTGGCCTAATCACATTAATTTTTTATTTTGACATAAGTTGTTAAGTCGAGTGCCGCTATAATTGTACAAGTTCTAAGTGTAAGTAATCAACTTGAAAGCAATCAGCGGCAACTAAAAGCTCGGGTGTGCCCAAAGATTGTACACAAAACCAATTTAAATCATTCAAAATATATTAGTGAACTAGCAGTCAACAGTCAAGAGACAATACCGAAAGCGCAATTTGAAAATTCGTTTTATGGCTCGGTTCCCGCCAATAATCCGCCCGTATACTTTGAACTGTTGACACAAACTATGTATTGGCGTGGGAATGAATATAGTTTACTATTGCCTGAGGCCATCCTCCGATACATTCTTAATTAAAGAGTATTGCTTGAACACCTTTCATTAGATTATCAGGTGGGAGAATAGACTAGAATCCTCTTTCCTGGTAAGATGGTTTACCGTCCTAGACAGATTCGAAGTGCCTGGACAACTACATGAAGGTGTGATTTGGCGGCAAACCTGTGAACGCATGTTCTTATGACTGGGTTTCTATACCTAGATCGATCTAAAAGGATCCATCTTCAAGGGGTTTCTCGCAAAATTGTTTTCAAATTAAGCAGCTAAATTCTCTGGCATGTCTACTAAAGTTGCTAAGATAATTAATTACCCTCTAGCAGCTTCAGTAGGCGTGACAGATATCTAAGCCGCTTAAGTTGATGGCAATTTGGAGAGAATCCCCTTGAAGACAGATCGATCTACAGTTAGTACGATAGGGTCTAGGAATCTATCATCAATCTGGTCATACACTGTAAATATTTGATGATTTGCCATTTGGGGAAGAACTGTCGTTGATGTTTTAGAAATGTCCAGTTCAAATAAAGATTTAAGGAATTCGTATAAACCAGACGCATCGGATATCATTACTCAAATCTGAATAAATTATGCATGCTATAAAGCACTTTCATACATTCAATTAATGTTTATAACGTTATCTTTCTTCTATTTAGCTTTCTTAAATACTGGTACTGTAGGTAGAAAAGCTAAGCAGGTGTTTGCGAACTATCCTACTATTATCAGCAATGATCGGCAAACTGCACAGAAAATCAAATACGACAAACAAAAGTGGAGAAAATGACATGATGAACGAAGCTAACCAAATATGCCCGTGGCCTATCGTGCACATACTTAAAGCCACTTGTATACAAGTTTGCAGTAACTAACAGAAACAGAATCAAAGAAGCAATTAAATTAAAAGGGAGCGACAAGACATGACGTGCCTTAAAATAAATAAATAAGAAAAGGATAAAAATGCTGCTTGGAAAGAACCCGCCTAAAGAGCGATTGCAAGAAATGTGCATGACAACATGGCCTTCAAGATGAATATTTCTTTGATTTTGAGTTTGCAACCCAACAAATTGAAAGCATTTTTGTATTGGATAAAA